GCCGGATAGGCACATGGACCCAATCGGTTCAGTGCGATGACCGATCAGCGCCGAAGCAGACTGACGCTAGCGAGCGAGCGGTGACGATCCATCACGTGACACATCACTAACAGGCACTATGCGGCAAACGGTCAGCGATATGTCCATCAAGGCCGTATTGCCGATGGTTGATGACCGATGGCGGTCGCGTCGGAGAAGGTCGGTCGGCTCACGCGTGGCACACATGCACATGCATGATCGGTGAACGTTCGTGCGGACGGTCGCAGGCAGCATGCATCCTCACGCTTCGCGATTCCGGTGTTCAGCATCCTCATATCTTCTCTTGTACGTCCGCAGAGATGCTTGCTTCCTCGATCGCAGCCACTGATACCTTATCAGTGCTGAAGTTGTGCTCGGTGATACAAGCGCAGAGGACGCGGGCGTGCACTTGAGTAAGGTATGGAGTAAGGTTTCAGTTGAGGCTGATTGAATGCCAGGCGAGGGTCGGTCAGCATTGTTCGTGGTCGCTGTCACGAGTTCGTTTTATGCCGTCGTCCGCTCGTTACGTCGCTGGTCGCCTGCATTTGTTAGTTATCGCCAGTTGCTGTACGGTGGCGGGAGGAAGCCGAGAACAGAGCCGCAAAACGGCACCTGCTAACTTATCCATCGAATAGCAAGCACTAATCACGAGCGATCGCTGAAGTGTTCGGTGGTCGGTCGACGAGCACGGCCACCGGTCGACAGGCGCGCGCAGGCGTGACAGCGTGACAGTGTGTTACGCGACAAAGAACGGACAACACAGTGTCAGTGTTATCTGGCTTTCGGCTCTCGCATTAATTAATTAGTTAAGAACCCTGCTCGGGCATGTATGATTTGCAGGCTGCGTCCAAAGAAAAGCAGGCGGGCGGAACGAGGAGCTCAGGGACTCATTCCTCGGCCATCGTCTTTACACCCTGCGTGAGCTGTTGCCAGTTTTTGTCGCAGCGGCGCCGGAACCGTCCGTTTCGCCTCCGCCACCGAGGCTTCGATGTTAGCATTTGAAGCGTGGGCAGCTGCTTAGGCGAACGTTCGAAGACTCGATTTAAGGATTTCGTTTGTACGACAAAACCTAAGTTGCTTTTGTAGCCTATGAGGATTCTATTTCATTTACGCTTTCAGATCAGTGGCGCTTTTTCAGTCATTTTCGGTCGCGTTCTCGTTTCCGTGCTTTGATTTCTGCACATTACATGTGATGTTGAATTTGCCATAGCCTTCAGCTAAAGCGCAGGCGGTCTTTGTTCTGGATGTGCATTCGGTTCGGCCTGTACCTCTGTCTGTGCCCAGAGACATTAATCCGTCAACAACGGACAGTGCAGTTATAGACAAGCAAATTCTCTCTCCTGGGTTATTGTGCAGCGTATTGTCAACTGTTCGTATCCATGGAAGGTTCTACGATTAACTCGCATATCATGGAAACTTTTCCGCGATTACTGTTTTGCCATTGAGAGTCAGTCAGCGACAACGGACTCCGATGCAACCGTCCGAAAAAATGTGTGCTAAGTCGATGACAGCACAGAACTGCCCCAAGACGCGATTTTCTGCCCCATTGGTGCTACTGCCGGCCAAATGCACCGTTGTTGCTTAGTCGATGATTCAGTAAAAGTTCGCATCAGTGATGATATGATATCGCTGGTGCGTCGACGTCGTTTTAAACCAGCACACAGGCAGCTGTGGTTTCCATAGCGACCTCTGAACGGCTTTCAACAGTCTCACAAAGTAAAATGGTTTATTTAAAACAGTTAACAAAATCTTAACCTGAGCTGTTGAAAACGTTCAGGCTAAGCTTCTGTTTTTTACAAAGCGTTGTTCGTGCGGTTGCTGAAAATCGTTCCAAAGTTGTTATAGAGCGTATGAGTACCCATGTTCGAAAAGAATTCTCAATTTGTCGCTCTAATTCACGTGTATTTCACTGTAGCTGAAAATGTTACACTCATAAGTGACTCAATTCTGCTGGAAAATGGACTATTTCCACTACTTTCGAGCGTTGTTGCAACACAATCTTTTGAGCAACATGTAGTCATCGTCGTCAGTGGTCTTGTCAAACCATGAAGAGTGAAGATCCTGCAAGACAGATTCCAAATCGTCGTATTGCTCACATACTTTGTTCGGTGAAATCGAAAGTTTTACAACACCGAACGATCTGCTTATGCTGCAGTTGCAACGAAAACGAATTTCAAACGTTGCCAAGTGCAATGTATTTATTTTCTCAACGGAAAGCAAACCACCCTGGTGACTTCGAAATATGACTTGGTGCAGGAAAATGACTGTCGTGACACTGCTCCAGATTCGGGCCTTCTTCATCGGAAGATCAAAAGCTAGCACAGGAGGGGTACTGTGTGACAGAGCGACACTGACGCAGACGTTTCCGCGACCCGAAAGGATTAGCGGTCATCGAAAGTGACTGACATGCAGCAAATTATGCGATCCGTAAAATCAATAAGGTTTATGAAACATGAAAATATCGGTTATAGGGTTTAATAACCGGCTTAATCTATCACATTATTTTTGTGTCATAAATCGTGTTAAATTTGAACGGATTTCATGATGCTGGAAAGCGTCCGCCCAAAAAATGTTTTTACTGTCCTCCATACGGGCGCAGGTATGCTGCACTGCCTGAGTGTGAGTGGAATCAACGAAGATGTGCATGTGAATTACGGTCACATCAGCATATAAATCGTCCAGTTTGGTCGTAGGCACATCAGCAGTCTGAGATGATCCTGGTTCTGGGTCGAATTTCAAAATGGATCATGGGCATCAACCTTCCAGCACTGCGATCGGGACAGAAAACAAAAATCCCTTCGTTTCTCGACATATTGCTCCAAAGACCTATTGCTACGGAAGTACGCAAAGATTATACTAGCATTGTTTTTGTGTCGATAAAAAGCTGTTCGTCAGTCTCGATTATGTGTTAGCTGATCATCGCTTCATCGTTCTTTCTCGCCTTGTGGGCACGCACTCATAACTGTGAAAGTGCACCGTGGCATTGTTCCATATTTCCAGTTTTCGTTCGCAGAACTTAACTGACGTCACAGTTTGATGGACTAGCATTAGGTCAGGTTGACGATATTGCCGAGAGGCAATCGACTTCCTTCGAGCCAAGCTACGGTGTACGTCATAACATATTGCTAACGGTTGTTCTTTAGACAGGTATGCAGCAGTTTCTTCGGCTTAAGTTGAAAGCATGCTCATTTTGGCACGCTCACCCGCACAGAAGAATTTCACAATTCAGAGCAGTAGGTGTTCTTCAAAAGAAGTTTTCAAGGGGATATAGGCAGTGGCTTTTGACTAAGGTGTGAAATATACAGTTCTCTTATGCGGTTTGATAATCGACGATGAATTGCGCAGTCCGCAAGACGCCTGCCATTCCTCGCAGTTTCGAGCCTTCTTCCTCTTAACCCGGCCTTCCCTGCTCCTAACGTAGTCTTTCCCCCGTCACGGTGGGCGACCGAGGGGCCTAGCTCGCCTTTGAAGGTACCAGTCGGCGGTCATTGCCGACCATCTCCCGTCTGCCGTCGGTGAACCGAGCTACATGTCCGGTCCACCGCAGCTTCCCCTTTCTGCCTTCGACAACGACGTCCGTCAGTCCCGTACGCCATCTGATCACCATGTTGTGCATTTGGTCTCGGCGTGAGATTCACGATATTCTTCTTTCTATAGCTCTCTCAGTGACAGGTAGCTGGCGCCCTTCGTCTTTTGTAAGTGACCACTTCTCACAGCCATACAACATCGCCGGTAGGACGTTAGAATTGAAGAGGTGGGCGCGGAATTCTTTTTCGATGATACCTTAGGAGGACGTCGTGGATGGAAGGGAACGCGCGCCAACTTGTCCTCTCTCTCCATAGAATCTATCCGGCCTTATCATGGCCATGTTGATCTCTTGGCCCTGGTAGACGTATTTACCGACTACGATCTTTCTGCATTTAATATTACCCTGGCCTTTGGCAGGGCATTTGATTGCATTTGATCTTCGTCTTTAATCGATTGATTTGCTCTCCAACTTATGCACTTTTTCTGTCGAATTTTTCCAACGTGTCTGCAGAACACCACATCAGCAGCGATCCTCAGATGGCTGAATTGTTCACCATTGATATTAACCGGATCCTTCCAGTTTATTCGCCGGAACATCATAGCTAAACAGGCAATGAAGAGTTTCGGTGAGGTGCTGTCTCTCTCTTTCACGCCCTTCTCAACGGAAATGCACAGAGGTGTCGAACAACGTCATGTTCTTAAAACAGCCAGAGTTCACTTCCTTTAGCAGGTTTCTGTAACGGATGTCAGTGTGTTCCGCCTGTGCAGTCCACACTGCGCTGTATTCGACCGACGGTGTGACGTTCTCCTGCGGTCCACGTAGGCGTTGCAAAGCGGGAGCTGGCATCCCTCGCGCGTTTGAGAAATTGGTTTAAAGTGAAGACTTTATCCATGGTGCTGCAGTTCTTTCCGATTCTTGTCTGTCCTCTTGACTGCTGTTTATCCAGACTGTTGACATTCTGTTGGCGATGACCTTAGTAAACAGCTTGTAGACTTGTGAGGGCAGGGGATAGTTCCTCAGATAATCCCTCTCACCTCTATTGAGCCGAATGATTGTTTTTGACCTCTTCAGCTTGATGGTATATCTTCCGTTTCCAGGTAGCACGGTAGCAACGGAACCCCTGCGCTAGAGCCCTCCACGGCGTCCGACTACTTGTTCGCATCATTTCACTCGGCATGTATATCCTCTCTTAGAGAAGCTGAAGTGCGCTTATTTACTTTTGGCCGTTGCAGTGAGGATGAGGGTAGACGCCTCTCTTTGAAGCAAAGAGCTCGGTGCAGAGGTTCTTGCAGATAGACTGCATCGCGTTTTCTGTAATTTTCGCAACTGGAAGGTGTCCAAATCTTCGTTAGCTTCCATCGAATAAGCTTGTT